GTAGGTGGAGATTGGTCAGGTTTTGAAGCCAAAGTGAAGTTCAAGGCCTCCCTTTAGAGACCACTTTTCCATATTTAATTCTTCCTCCTGCACCCCAATACATGTAAGTTCCCCCAAAATTGGACTTCCTGCTGCTTCCAGCCATGTCCATTGTACCTTGCAAATAAGGAATGGCTGGTATATGCAGGGTTTTTTGTTTGTTTGTTTGTTTGTTTTTCCCAAGTTGGTAGGCAAGAGGGAGAAATAGAGAGAGAGAGAGAGAGAGAGAAAGCATTCCCCAATGGGGTCTGGGTATGCCACCATTCTTTTTTCTCCAATTCTTTATCCTGTCGGGATCCGGGGCACATGTACACATCCGTTGTGTAGGCTGCCAGGGCTGGGATTTGAATCCTGGCCAGTCATGTGGGATCTTATTTCCTCTGCATAGTTGTTAGCTGCTGTGCTACGGGGCCAGCCTGTAGGGCACATTTCTGACACTTACATTTGTCTGGGACTATGCTAGGCCTGTTCAAAGACAGGGTGCATCTCTGTCCTCCCCCAACCCCAGCCTTTTCCAGCCATCTAGGATCTCAGGGATGTCACATGACTTGCATGCATGGGTTGACCTTTGAAGTGAATCTTGATACACCATATAGTTCCCAGCTCATATAGGGCTGGTTCCATGGCCAGGACCCTCTGCATTCTGTAAAAGTCTGTTTGTTTCTATTGCCCTCAACACCTTGGCAAATGGTGAGTTACTTCGGGGCAACAATTTTGTCATTCATCTTTAAATGACAAAAGAATAGCAATAACATCTATTATTTTTAAATACTTACTAAGGATTAGGTACTTTAATAAGCATTTCACATGCATTATCTCTCTCAGTCCTTGCAACAGCCTTCAGAGGTGGAGGTCCCATTATGAAGATGAGGAAACTGTGGCTTAATGAGTTTAAATAACTTTCCCTGTCACCTCGTTAGTAAGAGTCAGAATCAGGCTTTGACTTCAAAGTCTGAATTTTCTAGCAGTCTGTATTCTGACACAAGTTTGGTTATCAAGAAGTGTTTGTTGAACAGGTGAACATTTTTCAAAATCTAATACATTGAATAGCTATCATTTCCTTCTCCCATTTTCCTCTTTGTGTGTGTGCTGGGGGAGGGGCAGTGGTGGTTATTGAAAGGCAATTAGTAGATGTTTAATCAACTGGACTGGGGAGAAATGTTCACATATTGAAATGCTCACTTTGTAAGCTAAATAATGTGATTGAATGTTTAAAAAAATTTAAAAAGAACAGAAAAAAAAAAGAAAGGCAATTAGTAGATGAAATGGGGAAAATAGAGGAATATAAAAAGAACTGGCTAATTAGCTCATGGATGAAATACCAAGTGTGTCAGGGAATTAGGCATTAGATACACACAAATTCAACACATTTACTAAGAGAAAGCATGGCTATTCAACATGACTATCACACCTGGACATTGGTAGTAAATGCTTTGCCAACCAAGTGGTCAACAATTCAACTCATTTCCATACCACTTCTATCTACTTATTCCTAGCTCTCCTTTCCATTCGCCATGTTCCATTTTATCCCATGTGACTCTGCATCACTTCCCTCTACTCCATCCTACTCCACTCCTGCTCACTTCACTTCTTCCCATTCCATTTCATTCCATTCCTTTCACTTCCTCTCCATTTTGCTCCATTCCACTGTACATTCTTCTTTTTCTTTCCTTTCTTTTCCATAGCAGTTTATTATTTAGCACTATGATCAGGTGATGGTTATACAACAATGAATAAATACAGTCCCTATCCTCCAAAAACACATACTCAGATTTTTTCTTTCATCACTTGATAGCAGACTATTCCAACCAACAACTGCTCAGTTAGACAAGTCAGTCCAAAAGTGTCACTAACCAGATACCATTTGATAAAGGAAAACAATGAACACATGGAAATTTTCTTTTTATATGATACCAAGAAATTTGAATGATTTTACTCTTCTTTTATGCTCTTCAGGTGTCCTCTATTGAGGCAAGTTTCTTTTGTATTTTTAAAGTTTATTATTTATTTCTTCTGAAAGAGAGAGGAGAGAGAGGAAGAAATAAACAGGCATCCCCAACAGGGTCCTCTCTTGATCTATCCCTAGTCAGCCTCAACTGACTAGGACCATGGGCACACACATGCACCTAGCATGCACAGGAGATCCTAGAGTGCAAACTCAGGACCTTTTCACGTGGACCCAGTTGCGTTACTGCTGTTCCACCACTTGGCGTGAGGTAGAATCTTTGAAATTACTTCTAAAGGACAGGCATTTTATATTCCAAGTGACTCATTTTCACTTCTTAAAGTATCTTAACTACGACTGTTTATGACTGACAGTTACAAAGTTAATCATCCTGCTAATCGAATAATGATCTGGCAGGGATGCCCAGACTGAGGCTTTATAGGAAAGCTGCCATTATGGAAACTGTCTTTGGGAAGAACATAGCTGCACGTGCTAGCTTCCCAGGACATCGTCAAGCGTTTGCCTGAAATAGTTGACTTCATAATCATTCTGGTATCCCATCTAAAAGCTCATACAGGACCTGTCCCAAGCCCACATGAGTGACTGGTATAGTTTTAATCTTAGGCCCGGAATCTTGGGAACACGTGTGCACATATATGGAAAATGACAACAGGATGGAGAGATGGAGAAGGGTTGTGGTGTGACCATGCCCCACTTTAGGGGGTGGGTGCTTTCTCCAGTTCCCTCTGTCTCTGTCTCTCGGTCTCTCTCTGGCAAGCACACATGCCCTCTGGCAGATGTGAAAAATAAGAGCTCAAACAAACACTGCAGTGGATTTTGCTCTAGGAAAAGGTTTGAAGAAGACAAAAACACAGGTGTATTTGTTATGATCCAAGGCTGTGCACTCAGCTCTGGGCTGGATCATGTGACTCTATAACACAGTGCTAGGTTGGCCCAAGAATGGTGTGCTTGCCACAGATCTCTGGAGGTAGCTGTTCTTGACTCATTCCAGCACAGCCCAACTGCCTGCACCACCTCTAAAACCCAGTTCTCTGTTTTACAATAATTAAACCCGGACAAAAAATGCAAGAAAATTCTTCATGCTAAATTAGAACCCTAGTGCTTAGGCACTAAACTACTATTGTGGCTTTTATTCAATATGGTTTCTTATTTGATACACTTAAAATTTCTTTGTACTATGACATATTTTTAGTCTATGACATAAATGAATATTAAAATGGAAGTTTTGGCTAAGGTATGTTAAGCCAAGAAAATGAGAAGCTACTCCAAGAAGAATGCATTTTTTTAAAAAGTTTTTTTAGAGAGAGAGATTTTTGCTGTAGGGCTTGTGTGCTTTCCAAAGAGACAGAAAGCAAGAAATCACCCCCTGAGTGGATGGCTACTCCACAGTCCCTTCTCCATTCTCCTCCCAGGATCTTGGGCCCAACCCCACACATGCCTGGTGTGACCATCAAGCTGCCAGGTCTGGGACTCAAACCGCCATCTACCATGTGGGAGTCCAGTGACATAACCATTATGTCATCTGCTGGCCCCACAAAGAATGCATTTAAAATTTTTTTGTTAATTATTATTATTGTTTATACATTCCATCGCTATACATCATTTAGACTGTAAAGAGAATTTGCCCCAAGTGAACTACACCTCAGAAAGAATGCATTTTTAAAAGAAAGTGGCAAATTTCTCAGCCAGTTCATGATGGTATCCATAAGTCATCTTCTGCTCTCATTTCCTGTCTTTCTTTCCCACTTTTCAAGCCCAGACAGATCTAAAACCATATTTATCAAGCTAGGAGAGGTGAGCAAAAAGTGAAGTGGGCAGTGAGAGAATTTGGGCATGCTCCCCTTTCCCTAATTTAAACCCAAACTGGGTGGGGTAATAGTGGAGCACAAGCAAACGTTTAAGCCAAATTTAGAATTTGGGTTATTTCCTGCAGTTGGCATTTTTAATGAATTTCGAATGAATATTGAATTTTAAAATGACATGAAGAGTGTCCAGAAAAGTAATGGAGCCTTTCTAACGTCTATTAAGAGGCAAGGGAAGAACTAGGTCATAGGGAAGATTTATAGTAAAGGAAAAAAGGAGATAAAAATAAAGTCCTGTGAATCATTCAATGTACTGGCTATATTCATTTTGTGATCAATAATGAAGTATGTGTTTACTAGTGAGAGCCACAAGCAATATTAAATTCTGCATAGTGAGAAATTAGAGCACTAAATGGGTGTTAAGTCATATGAATTGTGTTGGGCTTTTACTTTCTTTAAATTGTTTGGGTTGCTTACTAGGAAACAGCTACATACTGCTAAGTGAAACCTTAAGCTTTTTGATTTGCTCTAATTATGCTGTTATTGCCCAAATGGTGGCCTAATATTCTAAAAGGAAAGCCAAAGCAAAGAGAAGAACACCGAAAATAGAAATACTGTATGAATAGACTCCTATGACCACACCACCTCTCATTCTCAGGTATTTGACTTTTCTGGTCCCTTGTAGACTAAAGAGTCACGAGTAGGCTCAAGCATGTTGATGTGGATTTTTCTGTGATTTTTGCTTACTCTTGACCATGTACTTAAGCCAATTATAGTGACTCCTGAATCTGCCATTGCTTTGTGATGCTTTTCCCTCCCTTAGAGTATAAATGACTGTGACATATATGCAGGGTCACCTGTGAGGTTCTGACTTTAGTTTCTACAGTATTTCCTGGTTTCAGGCCATGTATAAGATCATGAACCTTGACTTTAGTTCAGAAAAAGTAGCCAGCCTACAAGAGAGCAGTTATGCCATGGAGGTCTAATTAGCTTCACCTTATAAAGGTAGTGGCATTTTAATTCAATTTCAAAGATTTTCTCGTTGCACAAAATACATTTATGTATCATTAGCACCTGGGACACAAAGTTCCTGATCCCCCACTGCAGTAGTGATATTTCTAGCAAAGCAAGTCTTTCTACGTAATGGGTTTTCTGAGAAGTCCTTCCACAAACCACACCCCTTCTCTGTTTACCTCTGCAGTGGTGCTGGAGAAAGGCTGAGTAGTCCATGAAACCCACGACGTGTCTGTAATGCCAGCCATGGGCAGATGTGGGTGATGCCTCCCACTGCTGTTTTGGCTGTAGTTTTCTGAAGTATTCCTGAGGAAGGCCTCTGGGGTATTCCTGAGAAGATGTTCATGGCTGTGCAGAACTGCATTAAAAGTAGGAAGGATCCGGGGAGGTACTGTGTTTCTAGCGCTTCTCACTGAAACTTCAGCTCCCAGGCCAGCTGAGGTAGAGGAAGGACAGTTGTGACCATTATTCTAATGTATTATGGATTCTTCATATAAAAGCAATTTCACCTAATAAAAGACCTTTTCAGTAATGGACTTATGAATTAGCTTCATTCATATGAAAAAGCAAAGATATTTTTAGGGTGCAATGTCCTTTGTTCATCTATCGATTTTGTATGGTAGTAGGAAAGGTGTGAATACTGTGCTATCAGAAACAATTCTGGCTTTGAGTAGAAGATAAGAATTAAATTTATATTATGCACATTTATGGGATCATTGAATTTTTTGGGGGGGTGGGTGGGTCCATGCATCTCCAAAACTTTATGCAGTATTATGTGTATATGTGCATATGCACTTTTCTTCTGTGGTGTACTGTTTTGGCTTTCATCGACGTCTCAAAAGGGGCAGTACACCAAATACCAGGTTGAGAATTGCTGTTAATGACTTGTCAGCTGGTCTTGTACTCTAGTGGTTAAAGGAAGCCAAATCCCACATGGCTGACTACAGTTCCAATTTTGGCCTGGTGGCTTGACAAACACACCAGGTGCATGCCCAAATCCTCACAGGATGGAGAAATGGAGGCGAAAGGTGTGGCATGACCACATCTAATTGTTGACCATGCCTAATTGTGCTTTGTGCTTTCTCCCTTTCTCTCTCTGTTCTCTCTCTCTCTGTTTCTAGCAAGCACACATGCCCTCTGGCAATTAATCAAAAAATGACTTTTTAACTTCACTATGAAGACAAACACTTTCTTGGAGAAAATCGACATTTCTTTAGCCACCGTGTGAACTGTTTTTAATACTAATTGTGTGAGTCCTAAATCATCAGGCTGTTGTTTTTCCTCATCTGTCTATCTTTTGAAAGAAGAACAAAATGATTTAAAATGTATAAGCTGGTAGGATTGATTTATAGCTTTGTAAGACTGAATTTATATATTAAAAATATAGATGATGGTTTACAAACTCAGTTGAGCCAGTCATTATTTAAAAATGTGCTCTCCAACTCCTGGGGAATCTTGTTAACAAGCAATTTCTGATGCAGCAGAGACCATCACTTTCAGCATTTCTTTCAAACACTCATGTGATGCTGATGCTGCTGGTTTACCTTCTGTGTGACAGGAATCTGGAGCACAGCTATGTAATATAAAACGTTGGAAATTTATGCAAATTATGGGCTGAGGTGGTATGTTTAGATGTTTCCATTAACTCCAAGGTACACTATAGTTTTCTGGTATATATAAATTCTTCTTTTCAGCATCATTCCCATTCATTCCAATTTCAACTGACTAGCAAATTTCATAAAGAAAAATGGATAAGGCACAAAAAGAGGATCTGGCCAGGTGATTGCATGACAGTAAAACAACTGGAATCCACATGAACAAGGCTCTGCTCCTATTTGTCACAGACTTTATAGTTTCCCGAACTGCATGGCGCACTTGAGACCCTGTGGTTCAGCCCCAGGTGCATCAGTTCTCTAGAATCTGGAAGGCATTTAAAACACACTGTCCCAGTGACAAAAGTGCAGGTCACAGGGAAGGAATGTATAACCCATCAGATGACCAGACACCACCAGAGAAGCACAAGAAATATGAAAAACCAAGAAAATATCTCTCCCCTAAGGGAGAATAACAATTCCTCATTATCCATGGACAGTACAATGGAACTCATAGAAATGTCAGATAAAGAATTTAGAATATTCACAGTGGCAAAACTTAACAAGATGCAAGAGAAAAGAAACAATGAACTCCAGAAGATACAAAAGAAAAGAGACAACAAACTGTAGGAGATGAGGAAGTCCTTCCACAATTTAAAAGAAGAAATAGACACCATAATAAAGAACCAAATGGAGCTATTAGAGATGAAGGCTGTAATATAGAAAATCAAATCCACCCTTGAAAAAATAAAAAGCAGATTAGATTATACAGAAGATCAAATCTCCGATATAGAAGACAGAACCGCTGACATAGAAAAGAACCACCAAAAAGAGAGAAAACAAGCTTCCCCCCAAATGAGGATAATATATGAGAAATACTAGATACAATTAAACATTCAAACATCAGAATAATTGGTATCAGAAGGTGAACAAACTAATAAGGGCATTGATGATATATTCTATGAAATCCTGGAAAAAAATCTTTCCAAACCTAGAGAAGCATTCAAATATTCAGACCCAATAAACACAAAGGACCTCAAATAGTATCAACCCAAGAAGCTCTTTTCCATGGCATATCATTGCCAGACTGGTCAAAACCACAGACAAAGACAAGATTCTAAAATTGGCGAGAGAGAAATGCAAAGTATCTTACAAAGGTTATCTCATCAGGCTAACACTTGTAGAAACAATGCAAGCAAGAAAAGAATGGGGAAATATATTCAAAGTGTTAAATGAAAAACGATTTCAACCAAGCATACTATACCTAGCAAGATTATCCTTCATATGGGAAGAAAAGATAAAAACATTCTCAGATAAACAAAACCTGAAAGAGTTCTCCAAATCCAGATAAGCTCTTCAAGAAATTCTGAAGGGAGCACTATACCAAGAAAACTAAAGACAGATAGAAATAAGAAAACAAAAACAACCAAGAAAATGGCCAACTTAATGGTAGGGACAAGTCTGAGAATATTGATAATAATGTTGAATATTAATGTCTTAAATTCCCCAATTAAGAGACAAAGACTGACTGAATGGAAAAGAAACCAGAAATCATCCAAGAAACCCACCACATGGATAAAGACATACGTAGACTAAAAGTGAAGGACTGGGAAAAGATATTTTATGCAAATGGAAACCAATAAGAGCAGGAGTTGTGATACTGATTCAGACAAAATAGGCTTTAAGGCAAAATCTATAAGAAGAGACAAAGAAGGGGATTATATGATAGTAAAAGGGATAATTTATCAAGAAGATATAATGGTTATTAATATCTATGCACCCAATTTAGGAGCACCCAAATATATGAAGGCAAGACTGCGAGATCTAAAAGAGATGGATTACAATGCACTAATTGTTAGGGACCTCAACATCCCATTATCTTTTCTAGACAGACCAATGAGATAAAAAATAAGCAAGGAGATTCAGGACCTAAACAATATCATAAATTAGATGGATTTGACAGACTCAATAGAACTTTCCACCCCAAACTCACAAAATACACATTTTTCTCACTCCTACATGGTACCTTTTTGAGGATTGACCATATAATAGGGCACAAAACAAGCCTTTACAGATTCAAAGGCATAGAAACTATATCCAACATCTTCTCCAACCATGATGGAGTTAAACCCAATATTGATTTTAGGAAAAAGCCTTGAAAATACACAAATATATGGAAACTAAATAACCTACTTCTGAATGAAGTCACAAATACAGAAGAGATTAGGACTAAAATTAAAATATTCATGGAAACAAATGATGAGTGCACGAGTTTTCATAATCTTCGGGATCTCAAAAGCAGTCATAAGAGGAAAGTTCATTATCAATTAGCATGCATAAGAAAAAGATGGAAAGGTGGCAAATGGTTAGGTGGCAAACCTAACATTATGCCTCAGGGAGTCGGAAAAAACAACAAAAATATTCCAAAAATTTCCAGGAGAAAATAAATAATAAAGATTAGAGCAGAAATAAATGAAATAGAAAATAAATGAACTATACAGAAAATAAATGAAAGCAAAAGTTGGTTCTTTAAAAAGATGAACATGATTGACACACCATTAGCTAGATTAATTAAGAAGTGTGAAAGGAACAAGATAAATCAAATTTGCAATGAACAGATATATTACAATGGACATAATAGAAATACAAAACATTAGAGGATACTATGAGCGTCTATATGCCAACAAACAAGAAAACCTGGATGAGATGGACAAATTTCTGGACACATAAAATCTACTAATATTGACTCAAGAGCACATAGAAAGCCTGAATAGACCAATAACAAGCAATGAGATCGAATAAGTAATAAGTAGCCTACTAACAAAGAAAATCCCAGATCCTGATGGCTTGGCTTCTGAATTCTGAAAAAAAAAACTTTTAAAGGAGTAATCTCATTCTTCTCAAATTATTTCTAAAGATCCAAAAGGAAGGGACCTTCCCAAATTCATTTTTGAAGCTTCCATCTCCCTTATTCTCAAAACAGATAATGATAAGACAAGAAAGGAAAACTGCAGACCAATATCTCTGATGAATATAGATGCAAAAATTCTCAGCAAGAAACTAGGAAATCGTATCCAACAATACATAAAAAACATTATTCATCACGACCAGGTAGACTTTATTCCAGAGATGCAAGGATGGTTCAACATATGCAAAACCATAAATGTACTACACCATATTAACAGAAAAAAAGATAAAAACCATATGATCATTTCAATTGATGCAGAAAAAGTATTTGACAAAATACAACATCCCTTCATGATTAAAACTCTTAGCAAAATCGGCATGGAAGGATCATTTCTCAGCATAATAAAAACCATCTATGAAAAACCTATCACTAACATTACGGTGAGTGGGGAAAAGCTGAAAGGTTTTTCAATAAAAATTGGTACAAGACAAGGCAGCCCACTTTCTCCACTCCTTTTCAACATAGGGCTGGAAGTCCTAGCTAATGTGATTAGACAAGAGAATGAAATAAAAGGCATTCAAATGGGTAAAGAAGACTTAAAATTATCTCTATTTGCAGATGACATGATTATATACATAGAATACCCAAAGGCATCCATGAAAAAACTTCTCAAAGTAATAAATGAATATAGTAAAGTGTCAGGATACAGAATCAACTTCGAAAAATCTATAGTATTTCTGTATACGAACAACAAGCAGGCGGAGGCAGAAATAAAGAAGGTAATCCCAATTACCATAGCCACATTTACTACTAGATTTAGGAATAAATCTAACCAAGGAAGTAAAAATTTTCCTCTAAAAGGAAAACTATGAAAATCTTTAAAAAGAAATTGAAAAAGACACAAAAAAGTAGAAGGACATCCCTTATCCCTGGATT